TGCATCTTCTATAATGGACTTGAACATTATTCCCCATCACCAATATCTGGGTTATTTTCCCTGCCCATGCCTAGGATCTTAAGATCATACAATCCCTACAGCCCATCAAGTCCACACTGACCCTCCAAAGAGTATCCTATCCAGACCCAACCCCCTACTTTATCCCTCTAACCCCACATATCCCATGGCTAACCCATCTAGCCTTCACATCCCTGGACACTATGGACAATTTAGCATGGCCAATCCACCTAACCTGTACCATTTTGCACTGTGGGAAGAAATCGCAGCACTTGGAGGAAACCCATACAGACACAGGGAGAATGTGCAAACTCCACACAGACAGTTGCCCAAGGGTGGAATCGAACCCAGGACCCTGGTTCTGTGAGGCAGCAGTGCTAACCAATGAGCCACCATGCTGCCCTGCTCCAGCCAATTGTAGTGCCCACTCTGCAGGTCCAGCTGAGGTTAGCTAACTCAGCACAAATCAACCTTTTCAATCTAAATGGTTTAAGTCATGGAGTCTCAGTTTGACTCAGTTAGCAACAGTCTTACTTCTGAACCAGAGGTATTGGTTTAAATGTATTATGGACTGAACTAAATGATCCAGTTTGACACTCCCATGATGTGCATGGCATTGTGGGGCATGTTGCCTTTCAGATCAAAAACATGAAACTAAAATCTTTTCTGCCAGCTCAGGTAGACAAGGTAAAAGATCCCATAGCACTATTGAAGGAGAGCAAAAAAAAGTTCTCCCTGGTGAAAACCAATGGTTTCCTCAACTCAACACCACTAAAAAAGATTATCTGATTGCTCATCTGGTGTGTTGCTTGTGCTGCCTTTACTTTCTTTACCACACTTTCCCCACTAAAACCATCAGGGGAGCTTTCATTCATTTAGTTCATGAAATCGTCTAACATTTTTTTATTCATTCATGGGATGAAGGCATTGATTTTAGGCAACATTTACTGCCCATCCCAGTTGCCCAGAGGCCAGTTAGAGTCAACCACATTGCTGTGGGTCTGGAGTCACATGTAGGCCAGACCAGGTAAGGATGGCAGTTTCCTTCCCTTTAAGGCATTTATGAACCAGATGAGTTTTTCCAACAATCAGCAACAGATTCTTGGTTATCATTAGATTCTTAATTGCAGATTTTTTAAATTGAATTCAAACTGCACCATCTGCCCTGGCAGGATTCAAACTCATAATGTTACCTTGGTTTCTGGATTAACAGCCCAGCGATAACACCACTAGGCCATTGCCTCCCCACTTTTAGGTAGCCTTATTCTTGTTATGATAATAATGGAACCAAGGTTTATAATTTAATTGTGAAACACAGAAAAATAAAACATATCAATTCAAGTGACAACGCAAAATTCACGTTATTTCGTTGTGAAATCACTGAAGGACATCTGTTGCTGACAATATGACCTGCTGAAAATGGAAGAAATGCATTCCTGTGAAACACTTCCCCTTCCTCCTCACTCCTCCTATAGAATCACAACAAATAATGCAGATGAGAATGTCTTTCAACGTTGCAACACATCACTGGGTAAATGAATTACTCAAATGTTTCCTGGTTAATAAGAACATCACCACCCTGTGATACATTGCTGTAATGTAACAACTTTTATATTTCCAACCAATTCCAGTATCAAAATGAAACTGTGCATGTATGTAGCAAGAGAACACTGTCAAAAATATCTTGCACGCAAAAATACAAGACATTCTATTGAGGAGATTCAGTTTCTGTGGTGTGACTAAAATCAATCAAACATTTGCACAAACCTGCAGAATACAGTAAACTAGAGTGAAAGGCTAAAACTGCAGAAGTTTAAAGACAATTGAACAGCTAAGTATTTAGATTATTAAAATTTCTTGAACAGGTGCAAACATTAATCAAAAAGACTCAGGGAGCACTGGCCATTGTATTTAAGGGATTAAAATACAAGTCAGTGGAAGTCATATATCAGTTCTACAAAGCCCTAGGTAGAAAACACCTGGAATAACGTGAGCAATTCTGACTTTCACTGTCTAGGAATGATGAATTGGCCTTGGAGGGACAGGAGCATGGAGTTACCAGAATGACACTTGGACTCCAGGAGTTGAATTACAAGGAGAGATTATTGAAATAAGGGTTGGCTTCACTGGAATTTAGAAGTTTGAGGGATGATTTGATTGAAGTTTTGAACAGATTTAGGAATAAGTAAGATAGATAGTAACAATTTACAGTGGTTGGGAAGTGTAGGGACTGTAGGGCATTGACTAAAAATGAGTATCATACCTTTCAGGCGTGAAATCAGTGAACAATTTGATGCACATGGTCGTAGAAATTTGAAAGCTTCTTCTTCAGGCAACAGCTGATGCTGAATTGTTAATCTTAAAACTGAGCTGGATAGATATTTGTTAACCAAATATGTTATGTGAAACGAGGCAAAGGCAGGTATATGGGTTTGAGTCAGATTGGCTAGCAATACTGATCTCATTTAATAATGGAACAATTTCCAAGAGGCTAAATGGTCTATTCCCAAGTTCCCACATGTTAATCCTCAAAGGATGGATTCTACATGAGCACTGAAAAAAACTTAAAGGCATTATGATCCTTCACTCTCAAATTTTACTGTTCATTTCCACATTTAACTATTTGAATGAAATGTTGTTCAGGAAATGTATTAATGGAGGTTTTCTACAAAGTGCAGAAAGCAGAAATCCACAAGTAATTACAAGGTAATTGCCCCATGGACTCACATGATTTTAACAAATCCTGAACTCTAACCCAGATAATTTATACTTTAATTTTGTTTGTTTGCTGGAGGACAGATTGCTATCTCTAAACTGTTTGTTGTCATCTCTTTATTCTATAAGTATATTTAATTTTGTATGAAGATTTTATTTCATGTTAGGAGTAAGGTCGACTGTAAGTGCTGATGTTTACAGGAGATGTGATCTTCCTACTGCAGAGTGATCAAGAAATTATTTCCACTTCATTACTGAGGAACTGGTTGACTAATACATTTTATACTGTCATGCAGAGTTAAAGTATTTCCTGTGATTAACTGCTGTGGCACAATGAAGAACCCGCATGTATAAGTCACCTTCTTTTGCATTGAACGATTAATTACAGGAAAGGCTGCATTCGTTTAAATCAAAAGGACCCTTACCCCTAAGAAGGGGCACCAGAGACAAGATCACTGCAAATCACAAAAGGGTCGCTCTGTCCCACGGTTTTCCTTGAAGGAAATCTGCGGTGGATGCCAGGAATTAGCAGGGGGCGCCTCCTCCACCCTAAAGGTATCCGGTCCCTAGGAAGCAGTCTCAACAAGTCCCTTCCACGCAAATGCCTCGGTGCCCAATGTCCTGGGAGTGGAGAGAGCATTGGCGCCGCTACAGACCCCTGTCTGTACTGACCGCTGGTGACACCCAAGTGCCGCAAACACACCTCAATCAGAATTTAGTTCATTTGCCACCCACCCTCCCCGCTTCAATGTAAAACCGAATCGGAGTGAAAACGCGGTCTGCGAACAGCCCTGAAGCTACCCAAATGCAGTGTTCCAAAAATCGCCAAAAGTCCAGCGCTTATCATACTTAGTCATTAGTAAAGCAATCAAGCCTCACGTTGTGGAATTTATAAGCCACGCACCGTGATAAGTTATCTATGTAAATGAAAATTTAATTGTAGGCACGTCGCCTCTATATTAAACCGCCCTGTGCCAGCCAGCTTGCCGTCAATTGCCATTGGATTGTGCGGGGAGCCTTAAGCAGCCGGGACAAGCATGAAAACTTTAACAGAGAAGATTTCTTTCCCAGGTTAGATATTTCTTTCCCAGCTGGGGGTGAGTTTGACTGTAGTTACTGTGCCCAGGCGTTGTGGCGACAGGCGGAGGAAAAGGGAGAACGTCTCGCGTTGTAAATCCTGACCTATTTTTCCTCTTGTCCTTTGCCACCCCCGGCCGCCTGTAAACTGTCTCCCCTAGCTGGATGCGATCCCGATCCCCCACCAGAAACCCGGCCCAGTGTTGTAGAGCCGCTAGTGGCAGTTCCGCGGGAGGGGGAAGAGGCTGCGAGCGAGGGATGGATAATGAAGCTTCCAGATTTGCCACGTCGAAAGTCAGCTGGGGCGAAATCTAAACCTTGTGGAAGGAAATGCCTGCTTGAAATCTGTGATTTGCAAATATTTCACAGGCCGAATTGATCTTTTCTTTTCAATTTGATCTGAACTGTAAACATAACCCGTCCTATACGTGTTTTACAAGACGTAGAGTCCATGCAGAGCTTCTCTCTGCCTCTGAAGTGTCCACCCAGTTGTTTAAACTGCTGTGTCTGCCAACCTGCCTGCCTTGTGAATTAATTTTTGATGCCAGTGGTTTTGTATGATTCTGTTCAGTCCAAACTGCAATTCCAGTTTGTGAAGCGTCCCTCACAGATTCTGAGAGGACCCGAATCAGTCAGCAATTGTAAATTTACAAGTTGGTTGAAAGGACAGAATTCTTTCCTCTTGTGAAATTGAGCATTCCTCCATCATTACTGGCCATATGATGACACATTCACAGACGCCCCCCCCCCCAAGTTCTGCTTCATTCTGTCGACGTTAAGAAGATTGAACTAATCTCTGAAAGCTCAGAGAAAAAAAGACCCAGCAAAGTTTGATTCTATGGCTAATGCTGTTGTACAGTTCGCGTGTGTACACACACAGTATGCAAATTTCACACAAACGTGCCCCGCGGGGCTGTTCTCCTCAGGCAAGTGAAAGTTTGCGCTGCTATTTGGGTAGTGAGGGCTGAGCTGATAGAAAGCAGGTGGCGATGGAGCAGAGGGGAATGTTCCCGGCCGTTAGTGACAGTTCTGGAAAAATTGCGAACTTTTTTGCTGGCTGGTGTTTGCATTCATGTGACGCTGGTGTTCCGGGAGGAAGCCCAGTATGAGTGATAGTGACAGGCTGACTCAGAGAGAGAGAGAGGTCAGGACCGCCCGGCTCCGCTACATTGCTCACATACCACCGCCCCCAGACCAGTCTCCTATGTGCATACTGTGTATATATATCTAGCCCCAGAACGCGCTCGCCACTTCTCACAATCTGCTAACTCTTCCTGGGCACGGATCGTACGGGGACTACTATCAGGCACAAACTTCCCCAATAAAGCCATCAGCTTGTAACTATGACTGTTAAATCCAGCTCCTCGGGATCTACTCTCACTTATTCCAAAATGAGAGGGGTGGTCGCAATACTGACTGGTAATTTTGGTTATCTGTCACAAGATTTTAATTTGTTAATATTTTAAATGATTGCACGTTGCAATTGTGTATATTTGTATTTTAATATTCCCAAATTATAAATTTTAAAAATGTGTATTTTTTGGGAGATCCCTTGTGTATTTTTTGGGAGATCCCTCAAATGCAGATGACAAATGGCATTTCAAATCTGCATAGAAAGCAGCAACAGAAAAAAACGACTGAAATAATTCGATTGTACCAGTCTTCCTTTATTTCTTGAGCTTCCCATTGTAAGTCGCTGTATTGTTTTATTTACAGCTTTTATGAAACAAAGGCGAATGGGACTTAACGATCTCATCCAGAAAATAGCAGCCTCTCAGTCCTACGCCTGTAAACAGTAAGTATGCCGTGTCTTCCTATCACTGAGTACTTGTTGCATGGGCCCTGGACCCCACTATAGACGGGAGCTGTCAGTAACGTCAGCTGGATGTGAGAGTTTTAAGGGGATTTTGGAGACGGGGTGGGAGTAATTTGCCCAAGAGTCTGTTGCCTTGACTAACTCTGTGTACAATAGTGCCCCTGTCTGCACCGAGATGTCGCTGGCTAGTTTTCACCCGTTCAAATGAAGCTTTGTGTTCATGAAGATTACACTCTGATTCATACGGGAGTGCCGGCTTGTGGACAGGCTCTTAAACCATGCTGAGGTCCTGAATCGGTGTCTAATGGGGGTTTGTAAATTGTATCTTTAAACAGCACAGAAGTGCCAGCCATGTTACACGTCAGTTCTAAAGAAACCGAAGCGAATGGGGACAGCGCGTCTCCTCCGGTGAGCATGAAGATCTTTTAAGGATTTGCTTGTTCTTTCTGTGAACTCCTCGCCAACCGTGTTAACTTGCTTTCTCTGTGACTTCTCCTGCAGCCCAGCCCAACATCAGCCCAGATCAACCTCGGTCCTTCCTCTAACCCCCAGTGAGTATCAATAGACCTAGTCTTGTTGCAGTTTAAACAATCATTTCTGTGGATTGGATTTCACTGTTGGATGCAACTTTTCATGATGTTCTGTATTCTCTCTCCTTTAGAGCAAAGCCAAGTGACTTCAACTTTCTAAAGGTGATTGGAAAAGGAAGCTTTGGAAAGGTTTGTAACACTTTTTCTAAAATGCCATAAGTGCAGACAGTGTAAAAATAATTTTTTTAATGACTTATTTCTCTCAATAACTATATGGCTTTTTTTTAAACAGGTGCTCCTAGCAAAACACAAGTCTGATGACCAGTTCTATGCTGTGAAAGTCTTGCAGAAAAAGGCCATTTTGAAGAAGAAAGAGGTACAAATAATTGACACTATTTTACCATTCTTACTGAATTGGGAATGTTGCAAGGGATTTTCTTCTCCTGTAGGGGGAGTTCTCAGCCACAAGCTGTCAAGCTTGCCATTTTAAAGAAACAAAAAATGAGCAACTATTTACTTGAGTTTATGACTAATTTCTCTTGCTTTTCCACTTAGGAGAAGCACATTATGTCAGAGCGCAATGTTTTGCTGAAGAATGTGAAACACCCTTTCTTGGTGGGACTATACTATTCATTCCAGACGGCTGATAAACTCTACTTTGTCCTGGACTACATAAATGGAGGCGAGGTGAGTCACAGGAGACTAACTGCAGGATGACATTTCCTGTCCCAAATGGCAAGCATGTGAAAGACATTTACTTTTAAAGGGAAAATTTAGCAGCGGATGTGAAAGGCTGTCCTTGGGACTGTAATTAGCTGCTGAGTGGGAACTATAACGTGGTGGTGGGAAGGGGGAAGGTGAATTGGTTTGATGATGGGCTATAACAGGCCACTTCCTTCTACTATTGCAGTCTAAATTGTACCCAATCTGATTATTTTTTGAATTTTAATTTTTATGTTGGTTTGTTTTCTTCTGCAGTTGTTTTATCACCTCCAACGTGAGCGATGCTTCCTGGAACCACGAGCCAGGTTTTATGCTGCTGAGATTGCAAGTGCTCTGGGTTACCTCCATTCTCTTAACATTGTTTACAGGTTAGTGGATTTAAGTGAAAAAAAAGCAAACTTCTGATTAAATTGTAAAATGCTACGTTAATATCTTGAAGGAATAAAACTGAACAGCAAATTTGCTAATTGTCCCACACATTATTCAAGTCACCAAAACAACTGCCGTTCGATGTTGTATTGAAGTGCACTTGAGTGAATTGAAAGTAGCTTTCTTCTCCTTTATATCTTGTAGAGATTTAAAGCCTGAGAATATTCTACTTGATCGCCAAGGGCACATTGTTCTGACTGATTTTGGCCTATGCAAAGAGAACATTGAATCAAATGGCACAACATGCACTTTCTGTGGCACACCTGAGGTAAGTAACACATGTATCCTGTGGGTCCCAGCGGCCATTGTGTAAACTGTTTCTATGTATATCCCATTGCTAGTCCAATCATTATCTCCTTTAGAAAAGATTTTAAACCAATAATGCATACAGCATGCATGTACTGTAAGGTAAATCAGAAGATGTTAACACCCTTGGAGACACAAAGATACACTAAGGAAGAACTATTCTTTCCCCTCAGTGCTTCTTGAAGCAGCAGGGACTGTTTAGCCTGCCTTGATCAAGTTAGCAATGTGCTTTTCCTACTACTGCCATGTACAGTAGTAATATTCTGAACAAGCCACTGCTTATGAAACCAGATACCTCCAACGCTTCCAGTACCAACCAATGGTAAAGATCTGGTAAACACTCAACAGCTGCATTTATGTAATCCTGAGTGGAGATAATTGTTGGTTTTATTCCTGCTTGTGCTGTAGAATATGCCCAGTGGTATAACCAGGACAAAGCCTTTAGAATCAACTCCACCTATATATGTGCAACATGAAGCTGCACTTTTTAATGGACTGTAAAGGTATTAATAACAAATCTCTGTAATGGAGCTTGTCTGTCCTGTCTGTATTGTAGCAGAGCTTTGTGAAAAACAAATTGGCTTGAATAGTCTTTTGATTTATTCTGTTACAGTACTTGGCCCCTGAGGTTTTACACAAGCAACCCTATGACCGAACAGTTGACTGGTGGTGCCTAGGTGCAGTTCTCTACGAGATGTTGTATGGCTTGGTAAGCATCATCTATGCATCACTACGCAGAGGGTCAAGGTGTTTCTTTAATTCGCAACGTTAGAGTATATTGTAAAGTAATCATCTTTTCTGTATATTTTGATATAGCCGCCATTCTATAGCAGAAACACAGCTGAGATGTATGATAATATTCTGAACAAGCCACTACTTTTGAAACCGAATATTTCCAATGCTGCTAGAGACCTGCTAGAGGGCTTGCTGCAAAAAGACCGAACAAAACGCCTGGGTGCAAAGGCAGACTTTGTAAGTAAACACTTATTTTCTTTTGATTAAACTATTTTCCTACTCTTTTTGACTATATAAAGAAGCTACCTGTTTAGTGTAAAAAAAAATCTATAAAGCTTGCACTTTGTATTTCTGAAGTGTTGTTTCTGAGATCTTGAATGCTTTGAAAAAAGTTCTGTCTATTCAGAGTTACCTGGTCTGTCGCATTCTGTCTGAGTAAATGCAGTGAGCCATTTGAATAAAGCATGTTCTTTTAAAACAGTACAGGATACATAAACCTGGTCAATTGCTGTGCTCCTTTGTTTTGAAACCTAACTGAGGAGCCAACTAAGTTACTTTACAAAATCGATCTATTTTCTGTTAAGGTCGTTTTTTTTTTCTTCATTTAACTGATATTTTCTCTCTATGCAGCTGGATATCAAGGCCCACATTTTCTTTTCTCCAATAAACTGGGTTGACTTAAATGCCAAGAAGCTAACGCCTCCATTTAATCCTAATGTGGTAAGTAATTATTTACAGAATTGCTTCCCTATTGTAGATGTGTGATTAATACAAAGAAAGCAACTCAAATTTGATTATTCACTTAAATTGGTGAATCACATCTAAAATTACAGTAAGAAAATAAACTGGAATAATAATTCTCTTTACTTTTCAACTATTCTAGAGCGGACCTTCTGACCTGCAACACTTTGATCCAGAGTTTACAGAGGAACCTGTTCCAAACTCCATTGGTAGATCACCTGATAATGCTCTGATTACTGCCAGTGTTAAGGAAGCATCTGAAGCTTTCCTGGGATTTTCATATGCTCCACCGCTCGACTCCTTCCTGTAGTGAATCATCACACTGAATTGCCTGATGGGGTTCACCTTAACTGAGCTCTAAGTTCAGTTACCAAGAAATGGGACTTAGCTTGGAAGGAAAGTTACGCATCTCATTGGCAGCTACCTGGCCCTTTATTCCATTTCTGAGATGATTCTGAAATGTTCAATGAGCATTTGTTGCCGTGTGGGTCTTGGAAGATGGCTGCAACATGCTGTGTGGTTACACGCCAGAAAAAAAGGTCCATTAATCAAAGGGATAGAGAAAGAACTTTGTCACCCATCCATCATTTCAAGATCTTTTTATTTAAGTCTGACTTGAAAACAATGATTGCCTGAAGACTGTTTCAGTACATGTGCCTTTTGCAGTCAGCAAGTTTGAAGGCATTGGAGTGGTCATGTTCAAGGGTTGTGTCACAGTATATAGAAATGTGAACAGTGGTGCAAGTGTAGTGCAATCTGGGCCATGGCCCTAATGATTTCTCTGGTTTAAACATTGACTTGAGAGATTTTCATCATCGCAGCAAATCCTGCACAATGGGGTATATTCATCACATCCAAACCAGGAAGATGAAATGATGTATCACAATGCTGTCTCTATATAATTTAACACTTCTCCTCCCACACAAATACACACAATTAATCTCTAAAATAGTTTACTAAAATATGCTTGAAGCATTGCTGCTATAGGTAGAACTATAAATTGTTTCTAGGACCAAAATGCCCCATTGTGCTGTCTGTCTTAAAACTTCCAACTGGCTTCTATGTGCTAGTAATCCTGTATGTATAAACTAACTTCATTTTTGTCTCTAACATTCCAGATTTTAATGGTTATTCCATTTCAGCTGTGCATATGTAAGGAAATCTGTACGTTGTGATTTGTTGCTGCACTAGTTTTAATGTGTATATTTAAGACATTACCAGTAATGTAAATGATTTTTCTGTAAAATAGGTTGTAATTTTAATTTGTTTTGAAATGTACACATTCCTGAACTAAAGTTGAGTTTGCAATAAATGTGAAACTATTTTAAAAGTGTATTTTACACAATTTTGTACTAAGTTAAACTGATCCACCACTGTTTCAAATTTCATTGAGGAAGCAATCTTGCATTAAACACATCATCAATAGCACATTCACTGGACATGCTCTCAAACAATAAATTTACATTTGCTCCTGGGTGAGCAGAAGAGGCTGTTAAACACCCAAACCTTTCGAAGATACTTCTCAATTTTCCTTGAATTGCTAGAAAGTAGAGTCCCATGATTTCTGAGTGTCACTCTTTCTCCTTTTTTTTCACCTCTCTCAATGTGCTACTAGTGTTTATAGGCTCTGTGGCTTCCAGTGAGAAGTAAATACCATTTCTCTGTCCCTGCTCTTGAAGTCCAATATTTCACAGTTCATCATCCTGAAGCCTACACCTGCGTTGTCCACTTCAGTTGTGAAGACCAACACAAAATTATTCTTTGAGGACTGTGCCCATGTCTTCTGGGTCCACACATAGAATGATCTCTAATGGGCCTTACTCTTTCCATAGTTATTCTCTTGCTCTTCATATATTTATATTTTAAAAGCTCTTTGGATTTTTTTTATTCTAACAGAAAATGCTTGCTTGCTTTCCTAACTTCTTTTAAAGATCTCTCCTGCACTTTTTATATTCCTCTAGGGACTCTGCTTCTTGATGTCTGTCATGAGGGTCTTTATTATCTTAATCTTAATATTTATGTCACTTAACATTCAGGGTTTTTCAGTCTTGGTCCCTTCATTTATGGGAACATATTTGTTGTGTACTTTTACTATCTCCTGTTTAGATGCCTCCCATTCCTCTGACACAGGAAATAGCTGCTGCCAACTCACTTGGGCCAAATCATGTCCATAATAAAATTAGCCTTCGCCCAGTTTACACTTATTGTTTCCAGACCATCCTTAACCTTTTCCATAAAGAATTTAAATCTAATTGAGTTATGGTCACTATCTCCAAAATGCTGCCCTACTGATATGTCTTCCAGCTGCCCCGTTTCATTTCTGAATGTAAGGTGCAAAACTGCCCCATTCTTCATTGGGTTTTCTAGTGACTGGCTCAAAATAAGTTCTTTTGGGTGCAATTTAAGAATTTTATCTATTTTGCACATTAAAATTATCCCAATTGATATTTGAGTAGCTAAAATTCCCTATGATTAGTGCTTTATTATTTTAACATTTCTCTGAAATTTGATCCACCATCTCTCCCTGACTTTTTGGCAGCCCATAGTATGTACTGAATGGTGTGTTTGCCCATTTTTCTTTTTTACTTCTACTAATATGGCCTCACTTAAATTATTGAACTGGCTTATGCAAAACCTCTGATAATATCTATGGTGGGTTCTCCACTCAAGTATACTGTCTAGTTCATTGGAATATCAAATCATACTCATAAATGTCCATACAATGACTGGTACCCAGTTTAAAAAAAAAGGTAAAATAGCTGCATTTGCTGCTATATAATTAAACATTCAAATCTGCAACACATGCATGCTCAGTGAATACATGTGCACACTGAAAGCTACAGTATGTGCAACATACATATCATTTTCCAGTCGAGAGCTTGAGGCGAACAGTGTGGTTACATTTAAGGGGAATTGAGTAAATGTATGAATGAGAAAGAAATAGATGGATATGCTAATAGGGTGAGAGAAAATAAGGTGAGATGAGGCTCATGTGGAACATAATCACTGTTGGCCTGAATGGACTGTTATGTAATGTAATTCTGGGAACATGTATATGGATGCCTCTAAAATATGCATTTGATTATATTATTTTTTATGCAGACATTTAGTATAACGATTTGTTTGTACATTTTAATAATACATTTTAACAAACACATTAAATAAAAAGTATCAACCAAAAACACAAGTAGCATATGAACACATACAAGAGAGTGCTGGTTAACCTAAGAGTTACCATGCCTCAGGTGAGGGGAAAGGTTGAGGACAAGACCATGGATGTCTCATGGTAACCTCAGCCAGGGTAGCAATTGACCTTTGCTGGTGTCACTCTCCATCATAAACCAGCCATCCAGCCAAGTGACTGAACTCACAATAGGAAAAGTGCCCCAACCATTGCTGACAAAAGGCAGAGTGAGGCCGTGTGAGGCAGAATGAGTACGTGTGAGACAGAGAAAGACCAGATTCCAAGAAACTTACCTCCCACAGCAGATGGGTTGCCTCCACTCCAGGACTGTCCTAGAGCCTTCAGAAATAAAAGAATTAATGACTTAGACACAAGTCTGAGTAAAAATTATGAAGGTATTAACTATACGTTGGAAACAGGAATGAAGACTAGACTGGCAGTCATTCAGCCAGCCAATCAGGCAACAGATAGTCTCTTCCCTTTGCAATTAGTGTGGAGATATAAGAATGTGAGGATGGACTGCTGAACTAACCATTGACATTATAACAAGAACAGAAGAAAAGAAAGCAGGAGTAGTTCAATGCTGAACCTGCTCCCTCCTTCACAAAGGCTGATCTTCCACTCAGCTGCACTTTCCTATCTCAATAGCCCTTGATTTCCATATTGTCCACAAATTTTATCAATCATACTTGCATAAGCTCAGTGATTGAGCATTTACAGCCCCTTAGAGAATTCCAAAGATTCACATGTCTGAGTAAAGACATTTCTTTCCGTTTCATTCCTAAATGGCTGACCTCTTATCCTTGGACAATGCCCCCGAGTTCTCTGATTCAGAAGTATTCACTTATACGATTAGGGATTTGAAGGTTGTCCTTTGGTAAGAGTTCATGAACTCCACTGTAAATATTATCATTATGTTCTTATTATAACTTTAAACTAATTATAAGATCCTGGAAATAATTCTTAAAATTAAAAGTGTACAAATGTTCATTAAGCATTTTCCTTTTGTAATTATAAACTGGGTAAAGGCAGATTGTATGTTAGTTAGTAACAAATAGTACGTTTGCTGTGGTATTGGTGCCACCCTGTGGCTAACGGTTTTTATACCATAAAACATCAATCAAAGTAAGTAAGGTAAAGCCACCATAGTCCCACGGTCTCATTAGAGAGAGACCATGCCCCAGGTAAGGAGAGAGGTTGAGAAGGAGAGGTCTTCATGGTAAACTCAGCCTTTGTGGCAATTGAACCTGTGCTGTGGTATTATTCTACATTTCAAACTAGCTATCCAGCCAACTGAGTTAACCAAAAGTAGCCGTATGTAGTGTACAGTGGACTTGAAAAGCTGATTTAGAGTTTTACTGATGTTATTAAGTTGAACACCGGTAGTAAGAGTGTGACCAGCAATGTCAGCTACCTGAAAATAGTTAAAGTCACCAAGGTGCACGACATCCTTAGCAGCCTTGCAGTCAGAATGTAGCACAGATATACCTGGTCACAGCCAGGTGTGTCTATCCACTCAAGGATAGACTTCCTGTGTGTTCTGAACATGTTCAGTCAGAACCACCAACATCAAGCCAATGTTCTTCTCTGGCCACTGCCTCCTGCTGGCCAACTGTCACATGCAGGATGTCCAGTGGGCCAGCAAGGGGATGTGGAAGCTGCATGTGAAACTGTTAACCCCAGAAAACATTGAGGAGCTCAAAAGGGATTACACAGGTTGGAGAACCGTGAATCTCCTCTTTGAGTCTCCAGCAGATTGGTGGGAAACAGTCAAGGGGAACATCAACAGGTTCTTCATCTCCAAAGGGGTGCAGAAGCGAGAGAGAGAGATGGTGAAATCTGTCCAAATGAAAGAAAAGAATGCAGAACCTATTCCTGCTGCAGATGATGGGGTTTGATGTCAAGGAGGATCCCCATGAGCTGAACAGCCAACAAGCCTCGCTCCTTGCCTCGGAGGCCTCCAAGATAATTTTCCAGCCCAGGGTCTGCACCTTAGAGCAGGATGAGACATGCTCACATTTCTTCTTCCAAAAGGTGCACAGGGAGAGCTCTATGATCAGCAGCCTAGAGGAAGAAGCTGGCTCGGTAGTGTCATCTCAGTCTGACATCCTGAGGATCAGCAAATCCTTTTATGCCAGACCATAAGACATGAAGCCAGTATGGCCTCCCAATCGTTCCTGTCCTCTATCACATAGGTCTTAGACAAGCGGAGAGGCTGAACCAGCTGTTATCTCTGGATGAGCTGAACAAGGCCCTTAAGTCCTTAGTAAAGAATAAAACTCCTGAAAGTGATGGTTTACTGGCCAAATTGTGTTTTGCTCTGTGGAACTTGATTGGCCAGGACTTCTGAAGGTGTGAGAAAGTACGTTTCTTGCAAGTAGCACGTGCAAATCCATGAGGAAAGTCACCATCACAATCAGAAGGGACAGAGGGAGGATGCTAGAATTTGACGACCAATTTCACTGCCAAATGTAAATTACAAAAGCGTCTCTACGGTCATTGCTAACCGAGTCAAGTCTACTCTGGCATTGTTGATTTACCCCAACCAAACCTGTGCTATACCAGGCAGGACGATCTCTGAGAACGTTGTGTTCCTTAGGGATATGATTGCCTATGCAGATGGCTGGACACTCACCTCATCAGCCTGCACCAGGAGAAGGCCTTTGACAGAATATAGCGCACCTACATGTGAGACATGCTGTCCAAAATGGGCTTTGGGAAGGGACTCTGTAATAGGATCCAACTGCTCTACACCAACATCATTAGTGCAGTCTTAATCAATGGGAGGGAATCAGAAAGCTTCTGGATCAGATCTGGAGTCAGGCAGGGCTGCCCACTCTCTCCTGCCTTGTTTCTGTGTTGTACAGAGCATTTTGCTGAGTCCGTCAGGAAGGATGTGAGCCTGAGAGGGGTGTCTATTCCAGGCAGTGGAGGCCTGCAGGTCAAAGCCTCCTCGTGGATGGATGTCATCACCATTTTCTGATCAGATCCACTGTCAGTAGGCAGACTCATGAACTCTGTGACTAGTTTGGCCCAGAGAGCCAAAGTAAATCAAGGCAAGAGCGAGGCCATGGTTTTTGGGAACTTGGCCAACTTATCATTTACCCCCTTCACCG